ATGCCCGTATAAAATTATGTGATTATATAGAGTTTGTGATTATATAGGAGGTGATTGTATGGGAGGACGACTGTATTACGTAAGACAATACAATTTGAACAAAGAAAATGAAATGTCCCTTCTACTTAAACAAATAAAGTAAGTTCGCTTATAATAAATCACAAGGTATTACGGTTTTTTAATGAGTCATTTTTTTAGGAATAGGGCTTACGTTGGTTTAAAATTCTTCAATCACAATAAAGATGCGATATAATGCTGAGTACATGAATGAAACTACCATTAGAATGGTAATAGTTTAACCGGTTAAAATAGAATTTTCCAAGAGAAAATTCAAATCATTAAAATATAACAGCCACAAGTATTGATAACTCTTAATGAAATTTGTAATAATCTCTTCACATTAATCACATTAATCACATAAGCGTCTATATCCAAAATTTGGTGCTATTTGTTTATATGATTATTAACAAAATAACTACTGTACGTATATTAGTATTAAATTTATTACTCCTTAAACCGTCCTACTATCATAGTACCAATATGGGTAATAAACTAAACAAATTCTATCCGAATCAAGTGTCAAACTAATCAATCACAAATTGCACAGATTAGATTGTTATATTATTGTTAAATTATTATTTGTAATAAAGTCCGAAACCCAGGTACTTACCCGTCAGAAATCTCGGCAATTTCAAAATTTCATTCTCTTTTTCTTGCCAATTCACTATTCAGGCCATTCAACTCATGACAACTCGTTGCCCTAGTGAATCAACCATGTTCTAAGATTAAAGTTGTTCTCAAATGCCTCCCTCTATGATTCATAAAGTGATCTTATTGGTTGGAAAAAAAGATCGTGTTAACCATTTAAGTAAAAAAAAAACGGAACTTGCCAATGATCTTTTTTATAAAATTACACTGATTGGTTAATGTTAAACTTAAATCTGCATTTCGCATAATGAATTTGAATCATTACTAGTATCGCACCAATTAAGTTCAATTAATCAAAATTATTGTGATAGCTACAAATTACATTGGGTAACTGCCTAAGAACAACTTAACTTTGATCATCATTAAGAATTGGAACTAGTGTTGTAAAACTACTATAATTTTATAAGTTTCGGTAAATGTAATTGTAACTTTATCACATGATAATTTTCCTATTTGTAATTTCATCATTTACAGCTGGTTTCATAAAGAGGTGGATTAGTCATGTCAAAAAAAATTGTCAGTGACGTGGATTTACAAGCCACTCTGATCTGTTACGTAGACAAACCAATAAATCTGTTCTTATCATTAATGTAGATTTAATATATCTTCATATTTAAAAAATAATTTTAATATGCAATTTTCGCGAAATTAATATAATTTTTTTTGAAATTAATTAAATATTTTCGAATTAAATGCGTAATTTATCGATGTTATTGTATTAATTTGAAATTTAAATCTGTAATTTACAAGAAATATTGATTTTCGAAATTAAACTTGTAATTAATTATAGTTCAAATTAAGCATGTAATTAACGCGAAATCAATATTTTAGAAATAAAATTCATATTCAATTTATTATACATAAAATTATGATGTATCTTTTAACGAAATTAATCATATATTTTTAAAATTAGTCATGCAATTTATGCGCAATTAAATTTTCGAAATTGATACAACGCAAAATCATATTTTTTTTGTACTTGATTTTTGATTTGCGCGAATTAATTAAAATTTTAAATATAATATTTGATGGAAATTAACAAATATATATATTGCCTACAGTTACATCGAAGAAAAAACTTCAATCATTACATATATTGAAATCGAATTCACTATATTTAATTTGCTATTTAAACCGCATACATTAATTCAAATTTTTTAATTCGTCGTTCATATTCTCCTTCCAATTTGTGCTATCCAAATTCATCATCCAAGTTTCCTATACAAGTTCTCTATCCAAATTCACTATCCAAATCTCAATCCAAATTTTCCATCCAAATTTTCCATCCAATTTCACTATCCAAATTCGCCATCCAAACTCAATTCAAATTCGCTATCCAAGTTTTATTTGCAATCCAAACTTACTATCCAAATTCGCTATCTCAGTTTTTTAGCCAATTGCACACACTATTATTTATCCTAATTACTTGCACATAATTAATTAACAACTATCTCTAGTAACCAATGGCATCTTCTAGTCAAACTGTTGATAATCCCGGCATTCACATGAAAAGATGTTCTCGATGTTACAAATCCAAAGTTATTGATGAGTTTATTCGATTAAATAAGAACAGTTTAGGGGAATGTTCTACATGTAATACCTGTGCAGAAAAAAGAAAAGGGAAGTCAGTAACTGTCGAGAGTGAAGAAGCCGCATCTTCAGAGAATTTAAACTTAGCTTATTTAGATGACTGAAGAAAATAGTATTTTTTATGAATTAGCGGATCTGGAAGGCATAATTGCAAACTGTTTTATGAATGCTGATGAGGTACATTTTTCAGAAAACTTTAGATTAGAAGATGAATTAATTAATGATATATTAAGCGATGATAATGAAGAAAGTAGATATCTAAATATAGCCTCACCATTTCTTTTACCTATTGAAATGGGGTCCCGTTATTACTGGGAAGTACGAAGTATTTATCCACATAAAAAGAATAATCAGTATACTGGAGAAGTAACGGCATACCTTGGTTGTGCACAAAGGGATGATCGTAAATATACAAGCTCTGCTAATAAGCAGTAAAGAAGAATAAAACGTACACAGCTCACCCCCAGAAAATTTTCCCCGCACGTGATGATCATTCCGATTTTCTCCCGTGTTCGTGTAACA